ACAGCAATGATCACAATGGTAAAGATGTTCAGAATGGGTACATAAAGATTGGGAGACTGGGTAGCAAAAGATACAGATAAACAAGATTTATAAACACCATACAACAGATTGGCAGCACATATAAGAAAACAGCAATGATCACAATGGTGAAGATGTTCAAATTGGGAACATAAAGGTTGGGAGATTGGGTAGCAATAGATACAGTGCAATTTTAAGGCAAAAAGTGAAAAACTATGAAGATGAAATTAGGTACTTTTTAGTATTGATTTTGAATGACGTAAAAGTTGGACAGCTTTTCAATTCAGTAGGGAGTGAGTTCCATAAACTGGGTCCCTTTATTTGCATAGAGTGTTTACACAGATTAAGTTTAACTCTGGAGATATCGAAGAGATATTTATTTCTGGTGTGGTGATAATGGGTCCTATTACATCTGTCCAAGAAGAGTTTCAGACAAGGATTTGCATTTAAGAACAGGGTTTTGTAAATGTAGTTGACACAAGAGAATTTGTGGAGTGAGATTATGTTTAGCATATTTAGGGAGTTAAACAAGGGGGCTGTGTGTTGTCTGAAAGCAGAATTTGATATTATTCTGATAGCAGATTTTTGCTGGGTGATGATGGACTTGAGGTGGTTTGCAGTGGTTGAACCCCATGCACAGATACCATAGTTGAGATAGGGATAGATTAGTGCATAATATAGAGAGATGAGAGCAGAGTTAGGAACATAATATCTGATTTTGGAGAGTATACCAACTGTTTTAGAGACTTTCTTAGTTATGTGTTGTATGTGGGTACTGAAGTTGAGTCTCTTGTCTAGGAATATGCCAAGAAACTTTCCATCATTTTTATTGCTAATGTTTACATTGTCAATCTGAAGCTGAATTGCATTTGTAGATTTGCTTCCAAATAGGATGTAGTAGGTCTTTTCTATGTTAAGTGTTAGTTTGTTGGTTGACATCCATAAGTGGACTTTTTTTAGTTCATTATTAACAACACCATTTAGTGTATGTGGGTTGGGGTTGGAGTAAATGAGGGTAGTATCATCAGCAAACAAAATAGGTTTCAGAATGTTAGAGACATTAGGCAGATCATTGATGTATGTAAGAAATAGAAGAGGTCCAAAGATGCTGCCCTGTGGCACTCCAACGGTTATTGGTAGAGTGGGAGAGGTTATATTATTGATGGCTACACATTGGTGTCTATTACTAAGATAGGATTGGATATAGTCCAGTGCATGGCCTCGGATTCCATAATGAAGGAGTTTACATAAGAGGCAATCGTGATTAACAGTATCAAAGGCCTTTCTCAGGTCAATGAAGAGTCCAATTGGAAACTCACCTTTGTCAAGGGCTGAGTAAATTATATCAAGGAGACTAATAATAATAATAATAATAATAATAATAATAATAATAATAATAATAATAATAATAATAATAATTTTTATTTAGGTAAGGTACATACATAAAGAGATTTTACAAAGTTTGTTGGCTTTATAGATAGAGCTAGTACATACAATGCCTAAAGCCACTATTACGCAAAGCGTTTCGGGCAGGAAAAACATTAATGACTAAAGCTTAAAACTAATGGGTAAAAAGAATAAAATGTGTTGAGTACAAATAAAAATAGGGGTAAAAGAGGGGGAACATTGTTGAAAAAGCAGCACAAATACAATTACAAATTATTACAGAAAATTACATTCAAACAGCGTTGATTTGAAAAAAAAAAAAAAACATACATGGGTTGACAACAGAGGGCATTGCATCGTTGGTACTCTTTTGAGAGCGGAAGCCAAACTGACAGGGGCTAAGAATGTCGAATTTTACGAGATAGGAGTAGAGCTGTTTGTAGATAATTTTTTCAAATATTTTTGATAGTATGGGTAGGTTCGATATTGGTCTATAGTTGTTTATGTCTGCCGGATTACCTCCTTTATGAACTGGCGTTACTCTTGCGTTTTTAAGGATATCAGGGAAGGTATGACACTCAAGGGATTTGTTGAACAGCAGAGCTATAGGTGGCGCTTATGGTGACTTTGGGTAGCTTGTGGTGACTTTGGGTAGTTTATGGTGACTTTGGGTAGCATATAGTGACTTTGGGTAGCTTATGGTGACTTTAGGTAGTTTATGGTGACTTTAGGTAGCTTATGGTGACTTTAGGTAGCTTATGGTGACTTTGGGTAGCTTGTGGTGACTTTGGGTAGCTTATGGTGACTTTGGGTAGCATATAGTGACTTTGGGTAGTTTATGGTGACTTTGGGTAGTTTATGGTGACTTTGGGTAGCTTATAGTGACTTTAGGTAGCTTATGGTGACTTTGGGTAGCTTATGGTGACTTTGGGTAGCTTATGGTGACTTTGGGTAGCTTATGGTGACTTTGGGTAGCTTATGGTGACTTTGGGTAGCTTATGGTGACTTTGGGTAGCTTATGGTGACTTTGGGTAGCTTATGGTGACTTTGGGTAGCTTATGGTGACTTTGGGTAGCTTATGGTGACTTTGGGTAGCTTATGGTGACTTTGGGTAGTTTATGGTGACTTTGGGTAGTTTATGGTGACTTTGGGTAGCATATAGTGACTTTGGGTAGCTTATGGTGACTTTAGGTAGCTTATGGTGACTTTGGGTAGCTTGTGGTGACTTTGGGTAGCTTATGGTGACTTTGGGTAGCTTATGGTGACTTTGGGTAGTTTATGGTGACTTTGTGTTGCTTATGGGGACTTTGGGTAGCTTATGGTGACTTTGGGTAGCTTATGGTGACTTTGGGTAGCTTATGGTGACTTTGGGTAGCTTATGGTGACTTTGGGTAGCTTATGGTGACTTTGGGTAGCTTATGGTGACTTTGGGTAGTTTATGGTGACTTTGGGTAGCTTATGGTGACTTTGGGTAGCTTATGGTGACTTTGGGTAGCTTATGGTGACTTTGGGTAGCTTATGGTGACTTTGGGTAGCTTATGGTGACTTTGGGTAGCTTATGGTGACTTTGGGTAGCTTATGGTGACTTTGGGTAGTTTATGGTGACTATGGGTAGCTTATGGTGACTTTGGGTAGTTTATGGTGACTATGGGTAGCTTATGGTGACTTTGGGTAGCTTATGGTGACTTTGGGTAGCTTATGGTGACTTTGGGAAGCTTATGGTGACTTTGGGTAGCTTATGGTGACTTTGGGTAGCTTATGGTGACTTTGGGTAGCTTATGGTGACTTTGGGTAGCTTATGGTGACTTTGGGTAGCTTATGGTGACTATGGGTAGCTTATGGTGACTTTGGGTAGTTATGGTGACTTTGGGTAGTTTATGGTGACTTTGGGTAGTTTATGGTGACTTTGGGTAGCTTATGGTGACTTTGGGTAGCTTATGGTGACTTTGGGTAGCTTATGGTGACTTTGGGTAGCTTATGGTGACTTTGGGTAGTTTATGGTGACTTTGGGTAGTTTATGGTGACTTTGGGTAGTTTATGGTGACTTTGGGTAACGTATAGTGACTTTGGGTAGCTTGTACTCACCTAATTGTGCTTGCGGGGGTTGAGCTTTGGCTCTTTGGTCCCGCCTCTCAACTGTCAATCAACTGGTGTACAGATTTCTGAGCCTACTGGGTTCTATCATATCTACATTTGAAACTGTGTATGGAGTCAGCCTCCACCACATCACTTCCTAATGCATTCCATTTATTAACTACTCTGACACTGAAAAAATTCTTTCTAACGTCTCTGTGGCTCATCTGGGTACTAAGTTTCCACCTGTGTCCCCTTGTTCGTGTCCCACCCGTGCTGAAGAGTTTGTCTTTGTCCACCCTGTCAATTCCCCTGAGAACTTTGTAGGTGGTTATCATGTCTCCCCTTACTCTTCTGTTTTCCAGGGATGTATGGTTCAGCTCCTTTAGCCTTTCCTCGTAGCTCATTCCTCTCAGTTCCGGGACAAGCCTGGTGGCATACCGCTGAATCTTCTTTAACTTTATCTTGTGTTTAACTAGGTATGGACTCCAGGCTGGAGCTGCATACTCTAGGATTGGTCTTACATAAGTGGTATACAGGGTCCTGAACGATTCCTTACACAAGTTTCTAAAGGCAGTTCTTATGTTGGCCAGTCTAGCATATGCCGCTGATGATATTCTTTTGATGTGGGCCTCTGGGGACAGGTTCGGTGTGATATCAACCCTCAGATCTTTCTCTCTATTTGACTCTTGCAGGATTTCACCTCCCAGATGATACCTTGTGTTCAGCCTCCTGCTCCCTTCGCCTAATTTCATTACCTTACACTTTCCTGAGTTGAACTTTAACAGTCATTTTCTAGACCATTCCTTCAGTTTGTCCAGGTCATCCTGTAGTCTCTGTCTATCTTCATCCGTCTTGATTCTTCTCATAATTTTTACATCATCAGCTTTGACTTTGTGGTGACTTTGGGTAGCTTATAGTGACTTTGGGTAGCTTATAGTGACTTTGGGTAGTTTATGGTGACTTTGGGTAGTTTATGGTGACTTTGGGTAGTTTATGGTGACTTTGGGTAGTTTATGGTGACTTTGGGTAGCTTGTGGTGACTTTGGGTAGTTTATGGTGACTTTGGGTAGTTTATGGTGACTTTGGGTAGCTTGTGGTGACTTTGGGTAGCTTGTGGTGACTTTGGGTAGCTTTGGTAGTTCTAAGGACCGTGCGTAGCATCTTTAAGAATCTTTGTTTGGTTAGCAATCATTGCAGTCACTTTGCTGTGTCGGCTATCTGCAGTTTATGACCGCATCATACGCACTGTATTTTTGTATTATATTGCGTAAAATATAGATTTTACGCATGATTTATAATTTTGCTAGCAATTACCTACTTAAAATTATCTGTTAGATTAAGAATCGCTTTGCGTGCTAGTGGCTTTGCAAGAATGTAAAAATATCACTCTAATGTAATCTCAACAACCCACTGTACCTTCTTGTAAACAAGATATTATAATTATTATTATTATTAGTATAGTTGTGTGGTTGTTACGTCACTGAGGGGCGTGACGTCACGGAGGGATGTGACGTCACCAAGCCCCGCTGAAGTTCAAATGTTGTTGTTGTTGTGTGGCGGCGGCGGCAACATGGCGGACTCCAGCCACGGCAAGGAAAATATGTGAGTATGGCGGGAAGGTGGAGCCGTGAGGGTGTGTGGAGGACATGAGTGGTGTGTGGAGGACATTAGTGGTGTGTGATGAGCCCGGTGACCTACTGGGCGAGTGTGTGGTGAGGGAGAGTGTGTGTGAGACTGGTGTTACTGATGGCGTCATGTCCGCTCCCAAATATCTCTTGATTCTTTCATTTGTCTTCATTAATCAGGTCCTTCTGGCCCCTCTTTGTTTACTAAATGTGTCGGGCATGACCTTCCCTCTCTCCCTTCCTGCTGCCAGTCAGGTTATCCTCCAGTATTCTCGACCTGATTACTGGAGCACTATCCAAGGTGTCGGTGACGCTGGTCTGTAATTGTCTGTCCCGTCTTGAATATTCGGGTGACATTTGCTGCCTTCCATAATTCTGGAGGAATTCCTGTCCACTTAGGGTGGACGGTAGAGTGACGGTCTCGCTTCATGCAGGTCGGCGTTCAAAACCCCGACGGTCCACAAGTGGTCGGGCACCATTCCTTTCCCTCCGTCCCATCCCACACCCATATCCTCGCCCCTTCCCAGTGCTATAGAGTAGTAATGGCTTGGGGCTTTACCTTGATAGTTCCCTCGTGTTTCGAGTGTTTAACTAAAACCCCAGTGTGCGCGTGTACTCGCCTAATTGTGCTTGCGGGGGTTGAGCTCTGGCTCTTTGGTCCCGCCTCTCGACTGTGTGTGTGTGTGCGCACATGTGTGAGAAAGTCACTCTCCGCAATCTCCTTCAGTAGCCACGGTGATATTAACTTTGGCTCGATTGATTTTGTTGCATCTAGTTCCTTCAAGAGTTTATTTTAACCTCTTCCTCTGTGACTACAATGTCATCCAGTGTTTCCTCTGGCCTTTCATCACCCAGCTATGGTCTCCACATTGGCTTTGTTGTAAAGACCTCCTGAAATCTTTTTTTTTGGTTCCTCACACGCCTCCTTGTCGTTTTCCGTAAGACTTCCCTCTTATTGCTGTTTTCTCCATATATGACTATAAGAGCTTTGTTTGGGTTTGTTTAAAAAAGTTTAAATAAAATACTTACATATATAAGGGGGTGGTAGAAGACGATATGCGCACGTGAAAGTTCGACAAGTCTCCCCCGGGTGCTGCATATCATCTTCAAGGCTTATGGGGTCCCTATGAACAACCAGAGGTGATACCCTGTTATATATATTTATATATATTATGTAATATATAATAATTTATTGGATTTTATTAAAATGTACAATAAACCTGTAAGCTTATACTGTGTTGTATTTCAGACTTGAGGAAGGAGCGAGTCGCAGGAACAGTCGACGATCCTCCGTAAGTTGAGACAATTGTTCCCACGCTGCTGTTTGTAGTGAGTGAATGTGTGTAAATACTCAAGAGCAGTTACAAAATAGGAGCTATGCTTATGGTGTCCTGTCTTGCCATTATTCTTTGTCACGCTGCTGTTTGTAGTGAGTGAATGTGTGTAATTACTCAAGAGCAGTTACAAAATAGGAGCTATGCTTATGGTGTCCTGTCTTGCCATTATTCTTTGTCATTTGATGCTTTGAAACTACTGATGGGGATGACATCCACGGCCTTTTTCACTTGCTGTGACTGTCCACCAGGGAGCCGGTGGCTGAGCGGACAGAACACTGGACGAGTGATCCTGTGGTCCCGGGTTCGATCCCGGGTGCCGGCAAGAAACAATGGGCAGAGTTTCTTTCACCCTGATGCCCCTGTTACCTAGCAGTAAATAGGTACCTGGGGGTTAGTCAGCTGTCACGGGCTGCTTCCTTAAGGTGGAGGCCTGGTCAAGGACCAGGCCGCGGGGACTCTAAGCCCCGAAATCATCTCGAGATAACCTCAAGATAACCTCTATGCAAAAGTGAACTTTGATATTTTTGGGGAACTATGTTTTGTTTGAACTGATGAACTCTTGTTTTTGAAGTTGCCAGTTTAAAGAATTCCTCATCAATTTTGTACAATCCTGTTATTTTCCATGTAGTGATTATATTGCTTCTTTTTCTTCTATCTTTGGCATATTAATGCCTCTAGCCTGTCAACACCCAAGTCACGCGGCGAAGAACGTGGCCACTGGTGTTCTCTTGTCTGTAGTACTGCTTGGCACTCGCTTTCCCTTTCAGAGCAGGATTGATCTCTAAATTGGAGGGAATACAGAGAACCTATACGGTACGCATAGAAAGGATAAAACTTCTAAATTATTGGGCCCATCTCGAAGCTCTCAAAATGTACTCTCCAGAACGGAGACGAGAAAGGCATCAAATATATACATTCGTGGAAGATACTGGAGGGCCAGGTCCCAAATTTGCATAGTAGAATAACAACATACTGGAGCAAAAGGTACGGAAGGAAATGCAGAATATAACCAGCGGGGCGTAGAGGTGCCATAGGCACAATCTGAACTTCAGGGGGTCCATGGCTGTTCAACACCCTCCCAGCAAGCATTAGAAATATTGCTTGAACAAAGGTGGATGTCTTCAAGATGCACTTAGACAAGTTCTTGCAAGAAGTGCTGGACCAACCGGGTTGTAGTGGTTGCAACATCAGCTGGTTTGACCAAGTTAACACAAGTCGAGCCTGGTCCCAAGCTCTTCTACTCTTCTAATTGAGGAGTAGAACAACTACCGAAACCTCCCGATTTATTTATTCCTTCAGAATAGGGTCATACAGCTTGGGAAGAGCAGCCAACACTGCCACAGCAGAGGGCAAGACATCCCCCACCAGCAAGAGGCCCCTTGTTGAATGCTTCAACATCCTCCATGAACCAATCCGTTGCAGCTCAAGAAGGCCCATGAAGTGCACGACAGGACCCAAACGTAAAGGGGCATGAAGGTTGTCCGCCACAGTTGCAGCCAACATAGGACCTGGACATAGAACTGCACAAAACCCTGGTATCAAAAAAGTACGTGCGCAAAAGGCAGTGTTGACCAAGCCACACACTAGAAAGTGAAGGGACGACGACGTTTCGATCCGTCCTGGACCATTCCAAGTAGATTGTTCTTGAATCATCAGTCGATTGTCCCTAAACACAATCGACTTTAGAATCATCCAGAACGGACCGAAACGTCGTCGTCCCTTCAATTTCTAGTGTGTGGTTTGGTAAACATATTTGTCACATTATTGTGACTCCTCGTCTGCAAACAGGCAGTCATTGAGAGGCTCAGATAAGTTCCCCTGCCCCCCCAGAAACACCTGTAACACGATTGACACGTGCCACCAATGTGTGCAGTAATGACAATAGCCGCACCAAGCCCCAAGCGAAAAAAAGGAATTGTCTGCCAGCCAAGATGATTACGGACCCTCGTAATGTATCCAATAAGGAGAAGACAAACTCGAAAGAGGCTGCATTCATCAATGAGGTGTACACAGTCTTGTGGGATGTATGTAAAAAGGGCCTCTCAGTGCCTCCGCAGTGACCAAAGAGGAAGGAAACTTGTGGATAGACGACCCAAAGGGGGCTCAAAAACACATGGAATCAAACTCTGGCGAGAGCCGCACCCAAATCAAACTCGTACAGGGAGGGGGGATACAAAAACCTTTCCCTCGGCATCAGAAGCGGCTGGATGACAGAAGGCTACCTCCCTCCTCCTGCTGAACAAGTGAAGTCAGGAGCGAACCAGCTTGTGCTAGTTTCATGAAATTTTTATCATTTGCCGACGTGGTTTGGGGAGTTCTTGAGGTTGGTCTCGTTTGAAGCCAGCAATAGTTTTTGTTTTGTTGACTTTCTGGGTGCCTTTGCCGGTGGTGGCATAGATGAACAAGTTAATAAACAATACCACTACCTACACCTCTTTGAGGGACTGGGTTCTGGCACCAGTCCCCAGTAGGCCATAGTAGGTCCCATGACTGATGGGACCTACTAGTATGACACTCTTAAGAGATAGTAGCTTCAGGGAGCCACAAGGGGCTCCCCCAGAAATATGTATACTACTGTACACTATAAAATGATCTCATTCTTTCCTTGTATGGAATAAGTAGAGTTCCAAGTGAGTTTAATACTCTTTCTACATGATGACTTTGAGAGACCGTTTTGGCTTCAGTGATGAGCAGTACCATGGGTACCTCGCCTAGTTACTGCCTCACTCACTTCCCTTGCTATTCAGCTCATTCTTTCTATTGCTTCACATGTTATGTCATCCATCAGTGTGTAGACGTAGCTTTCCTGTCCTAACGTTACCTTTCGTTGAGAAAATCCGTGGGAGCCATGATGAGGATTCGAACCTATGCAGTGGGTGTTTTCCCCACACACTCTAGGCAACTAGGCCACAACATGGCCATGAACCTAGTTTAGTGTGCGTAGGAACACTCGCCGCATAAATTTGATTCCCCATCGTGGCTCCTATGAATTTTCTCGATGATATCACGTTAGTGTGATTATTCTGTGTATTGCCTTTCATTCTTGTGACGTGTTGTTACGACCCTGGGTTCTTCAGTGGAAACCAGAGGTCAAAATTTAACTAATTAAGCTACGTTAGAGTAGGAAATCGCAACCCGATGTGTCTTTGTTTGTATCTTCCCAGCTCAGTCTTTAAATGCTCTTTGAGAAACAAGAATAGTCTTACGTCTGGCAGGGAAGATACAAACAAAGACACATCGGGTTGCGATTTCCTACTCTAACGTAGCTTAATTAGTTAAATTTTGACCTCTGGTTTCCACTGAAGAACCCAGGGTCGTAACACTCGTGCAAGATTTATTAGGTTTAAATTTTTCATTGTTAATTAACAAGTGACAACCACATAAATGACTTTAAAATAAAAAGAGCACTTTATTGGCAGATATTGAAAGATCTCCCGGACAGGAAGCCCCTCGAGTGCATACAGAGTAACACACTTCAGCGGCGGTCACTCAAGAGAGTTTCCTTCGCTGACACCAACACCATCAAGTAAGCACCAGTTTTATCTCCATTCAGTTTTTCCTTCTCTGAAATTAGGACTGTCTTACAATTTGTATTTTTAGTCATTAACCTTGGAAGATTGGCTCTTGACACCTTACTTGTGCCCAGCTGGTGGCACGGTGGTAACACTCCCCTTGCACCTAGCGAGAAATTTAGTCTGGATTTGTATATTCAATCCTACCTGATGCCATGTAGGATTGACTAGGTGTCAATCCTTGACTGTTTGCTCTGTTCACCCAGTAGTAATTGGATATCTAGTTGGTGACTGATTGGCAAGTTGTAAGCCTTACCCTACTAGTTTTTTCTCGGGAAAGTCTAATAGGGTAAGGCTTATCATGAAGTGTTAGAAAAGTAGAGCTCTCGGCCTGCTAACAGGAATTGGAAATCATCTGCTTTTGTACCCACCTGTGAAGGAAAAAACTCCACCATACAAGTTACGAGTATTTCCTTACATTTCTTTGACTCGTTTACATTTCTGGCTTTCACTGTAAGGGTAAGAATGGGTTTTGTTAGTTGTATTCTAGAGTGGCTTCCAATCTTGTGCCTTACACAACATGCCCACTTATCCCACTTTTTCTCAATTTAAGGAAGCTGTCCCTTTTCCAATTTATCTGTTCCCCTCGGTATCTTGTATGTTGTGAGCATGTCTCCTGCTCTCTGTCCTCTAGGGTTATGAGTGTTTCATTAACTTATCCTCATAGCTTGACCCTCTTATCTCTGGCACCAATCTTGTTGTGAACCTCTCTACTTTTCCAGTTTTGGTTTTATGCTTCACAAAGTATGGCTTCCATGCTGATGCTGCATATTCCAGTATTAGTCTAACAAATGTTGTGTAAATTGTCTTGCAGGAGTCCAGATTTAGGTTTCTAAATGATATTGTAATGTTTGGCAATATCCTGTATGCTGCAGATGTTGCCCTGTTTGTATGCCTCTGGTGTTAGTGTTGGAATTATATCCATTTCCACTTTCATTCCAATTCCTGTAGTTGCCTTCCCCTTATGGTGCGGATACCTCCTGGTCCCCTTTCTCCCTTTTTCATTATCTTAGTTAAGTTGCTCCTGGAATCTAATCCTATTTGTCCAATCTTGGAGTTTGTCAAGGTCCTCCTGTAACTTTCTGTAGTCCTCTGTTTCTGGGGGAGCCCCTTGTAGCTCCCTAAAGCTATCGCTGAGATTGCTTCCAACTACTTAGGCCAGAGGAGAGAACTTGATAAATGGCTTCAAAGGATACCAAATCAACCGGGTTGAGTCTGTCAGGCTGCATCGATCCACATCAAATAGCCTGATTAACCAAACCTTCAACCAAGAGTCCAGGTCTGAAATCGGGCCATGGGGACGTTTATCATAGGAATAATTGACAGGTATAAGACAGTTATGGGTATACATCAGTCGCAGAGTTGTTTAGCCTTCTGGGGACCAGAACATGGTGTCCCATCTCCCCAACACAGGTGCAGAGAGCAGGTGAAATGCTGGTGCCTCACTGGGAAAACATTCAGAAAGTTGGCAAAGTAATGCAGACCACTGCTGAATTAAAAAAAAAAAAAGCCATAAACTGCCAAACTCCTTTCAAACCATGTAAAAAAGCAGTCGAAACTCGTAATGGGTCGACTTGTTGGTTAGTTTGTCCAGAGGCACATCAATTATTGTCCAGTGGTGGTTATTCGTCTTATCTTTGTGCCTCTTATTCTCTTTCGGTGGATGTCTTGTGGATTGGTCCTCTTTCCTTGGTCCCCCCCTATTCCTAGGGTCACATTTCTTAGGTACTCCGCTGTATTAATATGTCTAGCAACCCTGCAGTCCAAGCCAGGTCAGCCCTCTTGCCAATGAGGTTCTGAAATATACTGTACAATACCTCAATCATGTCTTTCAAATTGTCCTTGGATGTTTTTCAGGCACAGGGTTTTGTGACCTAACAAGGTCTTGATGACCCCTTTTGTTAGTCTATATTCCTAGACCTAATCAATCTTTTCTTTCACTTTGCTCTCTCCTCCCTCTCTCCTCCCTGGTAAGTGCATTTCCTTGTTTTTCTTAAGGGGAGTTTTTAGCCTGTTTCAGTCTCCGGTTGTAATTTTTCTACAGTCGGGGTCTGTTTTAGGGTGCCTACCTTTCTGGGTGCCTAACCTCGGTCGATGCAGACATGGAATCCTCCAAAAACAGTGGGGTTTCCATAGGCCGTTGCTGCCTTCACCTCTCTGAGGGAACCAGGTTCTGGCTTGTGGTTCCTAGTAGGCATGACAATGCCATATGACTGAAGCCCCAGACTAATATAGCTAATGTCAATCCTATAGCTCCAGGGAGCTTCCGGAGCTCACCCAGAAAATGGCATTTCATTACATTCAACCCTGGTTTTTTAGCTTTATTACTAGGAGTTATATTAGAATACTTTTTAGCTAATAATGCTAGGGAAAAATCCCCTAGTATTAGAATGTTTTAGCTCTTGCTCCCTTTGAGTCTGTGGCTACTGAGTCAATGTTTAAACATTTTAAGATGACCAATCACTGGCATCTTGCTACACAAAGATGTGTGAAGCAGTTGGATGTTGCTGTGAATGTTTACTTGGACAGTGGTTCCTATTCTTAATGATGTGGAAGATCTATGCTTTTGGTGTGGATGGTATTATTGCTAATCACCCTTTTCTACATTTCTCTTGAGCCCATCCTCCTGTTTAATTAGTAGAGTACAGCACTTAGAGTAACAATGAGGACCATGGTGCAGTACATGTGATGTAATGGTTAAGTAGAAATCATTACCATTTGAATTTGGACAAACTGGAAAAGGTTTTGTATGTGTTGTAAAGAACCTAAACTTGCCTAACCTTCCTAGGCCTAATGCGTGCTATCTGAGGCCTAATGTAGTACATGTGCTATACTAGATTTGTTTTTGAGTTTTTGTTCTTTTCGGGCTATAAAGTGAATAGTACCAGATTCTACTACCTGATTGCCTTTTATGGCAATATTTGTACTATGATACACATAGTACAAACTCACTAATGGACTAATGATGCACTAATAATAAACTCACTCAAACTGATGTTGAACTATCAACATCAGAGGCCCGAGACTATTCGACACGCTTCCACTACACATAAGGGGCATAACTGGCCGACCCCTCACAGTGTTCAAGAGAGAACTTGATAAACACCTCCTAAGGATACCTGATCAACCAGACTGTGACTCATACGTCGGGCTGTGAGCAGCCACGACCAACATCCTGGTTGACCAGTCCAGCAACCAGGAGGCCTGGTCGGGGATCGGCCGCGGGGACATTGAGCCCCAAAATGATCACAAGGTAACCAGAGCTACAAAAAGTACTATCTAAACAGGAGGATGAGTTGTTATTTTCTTTTCCTTTGGGCTGATGCCATCCCATGAATGGGGTAATGATAATGACTGCCAGTTATTAATTTTTGTTTGTTTACTGATGCAAGTTGTATGATTTTGTGTTAATTAGGGAGTTCCTGGCAACAATGGAAATGACAGAGTGGAACAGCACGTACGAGATGCCAATTGCTCACGACTCTTCCACCTCGATGGACATAAGTGTAGCAGAGAAATCGATGAGGTAAATGTAATGTGTATTCAAAACGGATAACAAATTTTATTTTATACTGTGTTACAATTTGCATGGCATAGAATTTATAAGAAATGTTTGCATGGTTTCCTACATTGTACAAGTGTTTGCTCTGATATGGCTAGTTGTTCAGTTTGATTTTTCTGGGAAGGCTCCAAGTTAGCTCCCTGTTGCTAACAGTTCTGGATAGGTTCACACCAGTTATATTGCACCAGATCCTTGTAAGTGTTTAATAGCTACTGCAGACAAGAGGACAAAACCTAGTCCTTCAGAGGTGCTGATAGCAGAGGATCACTAACCAAGGAAATGGCCAAATGAAAGGTGAGTGAGACAAAACAAAACAAAACAGCAAGGCAAGAGTAAATGAACAAAACCAAATGCCTAGATACCCGTTTGATGGGCTTCTGGGAGTTCTTCTACTCCCTAAGCCCGGTCTGAGGCCAGGCTTGACTAGCAGTTTGGTCATTTCACGGCTAGCTCAGGTGTACCCCGTCAGTCATTTGACTGGTGCTACAGTGTTTAGTGCTCCACTTTTGCCTTACTCTTTGGATTCTGGATTTTCGAGGCAAGTGCTTCCTATCCTTTGAATTCTCCTGCTGGAACAAAAGGGCCTCCATCTGTGGGGCTGCTCCTTCCTAGCCAGTGCCGGAAGCAGTTGAGCTGGTGTTTTCCTATGTGGCGTTCATTGTCTTTAGTTCTAGGTGTGGTGTGGATCCTCCACACCACATCCTAGAAAGACAAATTCTAGACACCTAGAAAGAGAACCAGACCTAGAAAGGGAATTCAGACGGTACTTCAAAAGAAGGAAAAAATAATGGAAATGCTTAAGCAGGCACGTCTCCCTGCAAAGGAGGAATAATTTAAACAGGGAGATTGAAGAAATAGAGCAGAGACTGAAATCATCATATCAGATTGAAGAAAGGCAACTAGAACAGAAAGTAGTACAAGAGATAAAGAAAAAACAAAAATATTTCTTATGTGCAAAATCAAATTAAGGACCACTGTCAGTATTGGACCTAGTCTTATAAGTGAAGGTTCTTACATAGAGGATGACAAGGAAATTAGTGAAATCCTAAAAAAGCAGTACGAGGGCATGTTTAGCACCCCAATAAACAGCATGAAAATGGAGGATCTGGACAGCTTCTTTATGCATGATATCCAAACCCCTGAAAATGTTGATATCAACATGAACGCTGCAGATTTTGAAGAGAAATTGACATGCCCATGCATTCAGCCCCGGATCCAGACTCTTGAAGTTGAATATTTATAAAGAAATGCAAAGTGCCAGTAGCACAGGCAGTCGGTATAGTGTGGAGGAGGAGCTTGGACATGGGATACAGTATACCAGAAGTGCTTAAATCAGCAGACATAGCCCTTCTACACAAGGTAGGGAGCAAAGCATTGGCTAAGAATTACAGGTAGGTTGCACTAATGTCACACACAAAAGTATTTGAGAGTGATCAGGAGTCAAATCTCGAGTTTTATGGTGATGAATGACCTCCACAACCCAGGCCAACATTGATTTAAAGCAGGAAGATCGTGCCTTGCTCGGCTTCTTGACGACTATGAAGCATGTGACTGTGAAGAGGGTCAGGAGGAGGACCACTCTAGAAAGAGAACAATAGATAAAAAAATCACAAATGCTTAAGCAAACAAGACTTTCACAACAAAGAAAAATAAATCTAAACAGAGATCGAAGAAATAGAGCAGACACTGAAGCGATCATATGAGAGAGGAAATGGAATTGGAACACACAACTATACAAAAGATAAAAAAAAAAAATCTAATTTTTTTCTTGTTTGCAAAATCAAAATAACAATCTCCTCCAGTATTGGACCTTTACTTACAACTGAAGGTTCGTATACAGAGGATAACGGAGATTAGTAAAATTCTAAAAGGGCAGTATGAGACTTGTGTTTAGCCCACCAATAAACAACATGAAAGTTGAAGATCCACACAGCTTCTTTATTAATGACATCCAAGCTGCAGGTAATATAACTGATATTAACATGAACTTGGAAGACTTTCAAAGAGAAATTGACATGCCCATGCTTTTGGCCCTTAGTCCTGACTCGTAGAATTCAATATTCATAAAGAAATGTAAAGTACCAGTAGCACGAGCACTCGGTGTAATGTGGAGGAAGAGCCTGGATACAGGGGAGATACCAGCAGCACTTAAATCAGCAGATATAGCTCCACTGCACAAGGGAGGTAGTAAAGCTTTGGCAAAAAATTATAGATCACAACACATACAATAAAAGATTTTGAAAGAATGATTAGGAATCAAATTTCCAGTTTAATGGAAAACAATTAACTTCACAACCCAGGACAACATGGATTTAGAGCGAGAAGTTCCTATCCATCACAGTCACTCAATCACTGTGACAAAATCACAGAAGCTTTAAAAGGAAAAACAAAATGCAGAAGTTGAATGCACAGATTTTGCAGGGGCACTTAACAGATGTGACCATGGGGGGATAACACACAAATCAGTAGATCATAATGGATAATAATCAGATCAGTAGGGAGATGACTGAGATCAGTAGGCATAATGGATAAAGTGGGGCATTTGACTGTCAAACAGAATACAGTGTGTGATGGTCAGTCAAATAAGATCAGGCCAAAGTGCAGTGAAGAGCTGCACTTGGGACTACCCTGGGTTACTAGACAGTACTCCAGGGTACTGTCCTTGCATCACTGCTATTTCTTATTCTTATCTTGGATATAGACAAAAATACTAGTCAAAGCTTCATGTCATCCTTTTACGGAGCATAATCAACCCTGGAGCATACTCTCCAAGTATGCTCCAGGGTTTGTTTGCCTGGTAGTGGTAATCAATTCTTGTGTTTTGAGCTAGTTTGAATGAATTGCTTGTTTCGTGTGAATTGATTATACTATGGGACCCTGAGGACGTGTTGCAGTTTCAAGGCTTCTTATCATGTGAACCCTTCAGTTGTCTAAAGCTGTGCTGACTTTGTGGAGGCTTTTTCTGGTTGGGGTGACAGATTGGCACCTGCTCCCTGCTGCTCTGTGAAGGGGCCAGGTTTTGCATCTGATCCCTGGTGGGCCAAACACAACTTCCACGACTCGAGTGATCTTTCAGTATGCGGCAATCTTGGGAAGATAGCTTCACGGAGGCACCAGATCTCCTCCAAGAAGAGGGATGTCTTTACATTCAGTGCTGGGTTTCCCAAACTATAAAACTGACTGTAGAAAGTGAAATTTTTGGTGATCCATTACTACTTTTTGGTACTTTTGACAAAATAGTTAATATCATTTAATTAAGGAGGATGGGTGGTTATGAAATGGTTACTACATTACGTGAAAATATTTCTTACGGTATCGTCCTTTGTTTTCCTGTAGCGGTGAACATTAGTATGATGTAAAACTTTTCCCCTCGGGTTCTCCACTTGATATATACTTTCACTTCCTCAAACAGTACACTTCTTAAAACACTAATGCCAGATGTTTATCTCTAACAACAGAGTAGATGATGATGAAGATAATGATGAGGATAACGAGATGGTGCCACATCTGAGCAGTGTCGACCAGGTGAGTTAGTATATCTATGCAAGTTTTGTTAATGCTTTTACAATTGTTTGGAATACAGTATATGTCTGGGCAGTAGTTCTCCTGTGCTTATAAGCTGGACATTACTGGTCAAACAAGGCAAGAATTCTTGCAAATCTCCTTTGTGTGTGTGCGTGCGCGTGCGTGCGTGCGCGTGCGTGCGTGTGCGTGCGTGCGTGTGTAATTACCTAAGTGTAATTACCTAAGTGTAATTACCTAAGTGTAGTTACAGGATGAGAGCTACGCTCGTGGTGTCCCGTCTTCCCAGCACTCTTTGTCATATAACGCTTTGAAACTACTGACGGTCTTGGCCTCCACCACCTTCTCACTTAACTTGTTCCAACCGTCTACCACTCTGTAACGGGGGGTGGGGGAAATAGCTCTATCTTGTCCATTATTCCACCCCCCCAGTTAACTAACGAGGCCGGGGGAAACAGCTCTCTCTAGTCCGTTATCCCGTCCCCAGTTAGCTAACTATTCTAGAGCACCTCCAGAGTTCCTAAGGCAACCTCTCTCGTTCAACACCTTGTAACCTAGGTATTTGACTACCTAGGTGCTAAGACTACAAGGTGCCGTAACTGGATCAGCTACCCGGAACTTTAGAGAGAACTCTAGAATACAGAATCATTGCCACAAACGTATAAGAGAAAACGAGAGGAAAGAAAATGAAATGTGAAGTAATTAGTGAGGGTTTGGGGTGAGAGGCAGAGAGGTGGGAGGGGCGAGGAGGGTCGTTAGTTGAAAGTGAGAGTTTAGAGAGGGGGTGGAGGGAGAGGTGTAGATAGGTAGTAGTAGAAGAGTAGATAGTAGAAGTAGAAGAGTAGATAGTAGAAGACGAAATGCTGCCACCATCCATTCATGATCATTACATACAAGACAAGGAATGGAACTTGCCTGTATCACAAAATTCTCAAAGGATGTTATCAAGAGATCATTATTAGTATGGTCCCATCTTTATCATGTACTCATTCTAAACCATGAAACCAGTAACTACAGAGGCTTTCTCACCTCAACTCAAAATCTCTAGGGAACAAAGTTAAACACAATTTAAATAATAAATTCATAATTATATTTCACATGAAGTATCATAATTTAGCAATTCAATTAAAATGTTCACGATTAAAAGTGAGTCATCATCCAAGAATTCGAGAACCCTACAACTTGACTGCCCCTGATCATCACACAACATATGTAAACACGACCAAGTCACCTTACTGCTCAACTCACCAAGTGTCTCTGCCTATAGCTGGATAGAGAGGGGGGGGGGTCTGTAGTTGACAGAGACTCCCGCCCTGCCGGCCGACAGCCTCCCTGATAGGGCTGTCTTCTCTCTGCTCTCCTGGCTCGTCTGCTGCTCTGTCTGTTAATGCTCCATGCTGGATAGCTCTCCGAGTTTATATTGGGGAACCTAGTAGCTAACTCCGCCCACAAGTAGATAGCCTCCGGCACTACCAAGCCACTCCTTAAACGTCGGCATGTTTGAAGGCTACCCGGCTCCAATTATACGCTTAGCGGAAGCAAGGTGAAATTATCATGATCTGACCTCAGGTCACTTGGGGTCATTAACGGTTAGAGGTGTGAGATCTCAGGCAGACAACTGGCGCCTCTCAGATCCTTGTCTGTGACTCGTGTACTCTATATATATTTAACCTAAACAAAACACTTTTACAGTGTTACATCTCCCCTTCTCCCCGAAAATAAAGTTTTTGCAACACTGCTAAAGCAAGCTAGCTGTGTGCGACAACTTTATTAACGAAAAGAATACATCCTAGCTAAACAAATATACATCATCCTACTCTAAAAAATGAAATATGTAGACAGACGTCCATTGTCACTGCTTGGTCTTGTAGATAATCCTGTACCACATTTCTTCAACACAACTGCCTCCGTCGCTTCTCCGTCGTTAACGCACAACAACCCTTGGTCAACCCGAAAGCCGTTACTACTTGAACTGCGCACAGGACCGTGGAATTCGGTTGTCCCAGCTGATCTGTAATTGGCCCTACGTCAGTCACCATGAGAGACGTATATTGGGGTTCTTCACAGCTATAGGGACTACAAGTTTCGAGACCTTCATATAGTTGCCAACAGTAGAAATCCTATCCTACTCTTCTTCCTCCCTGTTGCTCCAGCACGCCTCCTTCAGAGAGCTACTTCTGACAGCCACATCAAGTCCGCATGACACAGGAAGAATCACTCAACAGAGCAACATGCTTGTAGGAGGGGCGGCCAGTTAAGGCAAACGATCCTGTCTTGCAATTACGCTCCATGCAATGATGCTGATACCAGCAAGGGACACGAGGCATCGTGTCTCACTCAGCTTGTCTTATCTTCTTCTTCTTCTTTCTTCTTTCTTCTCTCTTCCTTCTTCTCTCTTCTTTCTTCTCTCTTCTTTCTTCTCTCTTCTCCTCCCATGGGTCTTAGACAAGCGACCTGGGGTCCACTGGGGTCCGTCCGTCCTGGGGTCCATCCTGGGCAGACCGGTGTTGGTGGGACAGACTGGAATCGTTGTTGTTCCTCTTCCATCTTTACTGGGTCGTCTGGGGTCGTCTGCAGAACGACCTGGGGTCCACTGGGGTCCGTCCGTCCTGGGGTCCACTGGGTAGACCAATGTTGACCGACCGAGAGGACTGCATCTTGGGGTCCCCGGGGTAGTGGTGGTGGTGGTGGAGCCATGACCTCCAGGTAGTGGGGCTGGTCGTGGTGGTGGTGATAAACGCCCCTGAGTGTGGTACACGGCAGCCGTCTCCCTCTTCTGTATATGCGTCGCGCCTCTCCTCTGGCTCCCACCTGTGAATGAACATAAAGGCGACAATACCCGTGTTCCATGCTGTTGTGTGACCCTGTAGTTTGTATAGGGTTCACACAGTCCAATTATAAGCTCTCCTCCTGGCAACAACTACACTTAAATTTTTTAAAATAATCCAATTAACACTGAATGATACTGACTTGGTGGAACATAAGACAGTAACAGAGGAAAGTTAGAGAAGAGAGAATAAGGTCATCACTACCTTTAACTTGTCACACAAAAAAAATCAACACTAATAGACAAAACACTAGCCTAACTTAACTGTACCGTTCCTAATCTTAAGTACATAATTAAACGTTACTCCCACCCTTAACCTACAGCCACCTACGTGACCCAGAGTGTTTCCCTAGCATCTCCGCCGGTCAACAACTCCAAACTGTTGCCACCCCTGTGACCAGACTATCTAACGTCGAGCGTCCCCAACGTGAAGTCAACTGACATACTAAGGCTCCCCCTAGCATGCTGTACAAGACCAGTACACCTCGGGTTATTGCGTTCAAATGGAGTAAAACAGTCGATCGCAATAATCTGAGCAGAACCACTACTTAAACTATTTAAAAACTACACCTGCCACTCCCCACTGACCTGGAGACCAGCGGTGGCTGGGTGTCCCCGTGGGACATGCGAGGTCACCTGTCACACTCAGCTGACCTGCACTACCAACACCGCTAAGTTCCCAAATCGCCAAATCTTATTACTAACATAAATCACTACACACGCAAGTTCTGGTGAACATTCCCTGAACTACACAAAACTCACAAAATCACTAAACACAACACCAGAGAATCACTATCTCCTAGCCTGAAAAAAACTCGCTAAATCGCGAAAGTAAAACACCTGTCAAGATCTCCCTGATAGCGCCTGAGCGGCAAAAAGACACGTGGGACTGAACAATGTTCAAAAGAACACCAATACCTTAAACATTGTATCCCACCGCTGCCACCATTGTAACGGGGGGTGGGGGAAATAGCTCTATCTTGTCCATTATTCCACCCCCCAGTTAACTAACGAGGCCGGGGGAAACAGCTCTCTCTAGTCCGTTATCCCGTCCCCAGTTAGCTAACTATTCTAGAGCACCTCCAGAGTTCCTAAGGCAACCTCTCTCGTTCAACACCTTGTAACCTAGGTATTTGACTACCTAGGTGCTAAGACTACAAGGTGCCGTAACTGGATCAGCTACCCGAAACTCTAGAGAGAACTCTAGAATACAGAATCATTGCCACAAACGTATAAGAGAAAACGAAAGGAAAGAAATGAATAGTGAAGTAATTAGTGAGGGTTTGGGGTGAGAGGCAGAGAGGTGGGAGGAGCGAGGAGGGTCATTAGTTGAAAGTGAGAGTTTAGAGAGGGGTGGAGGGAGAGGTGTAGATAGGTAGAAGTAGAAGAGTAGATAGTAGAAGTAGAAGAGTAGATAGTAGAAGACGAAATGCTGCCACCATCCATTCATGATCATTACATACAAGACAAGGAATGGAACTTGTCTGTATCACAAAATTCTCAAAAGATGTTATCAAGAGATCATTATTAGTATGGTCCCATCTTTATCATGTACTCATTCTAAACCATGAAACCAGTAACTACAGAGGCTTTCTCACCTCAACTCAAAATCTCTAGGGAACAAAGTTAAACACAATTTAAATAATAAATTCATAATTATATTTCACATGAAGTATCATAATTTAGCAATTCAATTAAAATGTTCAATTAAAGTGAGTCATCATCCAAGAATTCGAGAACCCTACAACTTGACTGCCCCTGATCATCACACAACATATGTAAACACGACCAAGTCACCTTAATGCTCAACTCACCAAGTGTCTCTGCCTATAGCTGGATAGAGAGGGGGGGGGGTCTGTAGTTGACAGAGACTCCCGCCCTGCCGGCCGACAGCCTCCCTGATAGGGCTGTCTTCTCTCTGCTCTCCTGGCTCGTCTGCTGCTCTGTCTGTTAATCCTCCATGCTGGATAGCTCTCCGAGTTTATATTGGGGAACCTAGTAGCTAACTCCGCCCACAAGTAGATAGCCTCCGGCACTACCAAGCCACTCCTTAAACGTCGGCATGTTTGAAGGCTACCCGGCTCCAATTATACGCTTAGCGGAAGCAAGGTGAAATTATCATGATCTGACCTCAGGTCACTTGGGGTCATTAACGGTTAGAGGTGTGAGATCTCAGGCAGACAACTGGCGCCTCTCAGATCCTTGTCTGTGACTCGTGTACTCTATATATATTTAACCTAAACAAAACACTTTTACAGTGTTACAAAGTTTAAATCTATGACCTCTTGTTCTTGAAATTCCAGGTCTCAGGAAGTCTTCCCTGTCAATTTTATCAATTCCTGTAACTATTTTGTATGTAGTGATCATATCACCTCTTTTTCTTCTGTCTTCTAGTTTTGGCATATTTAATGCTTCTAACCTCTCCTCGTAGCTCTTGCCCTTCAGTTCTGGGAGCCACTTAGTAGCATGTCTTTGCACCTTTTCCAGTTTGTTGATGTGCTTCTTAAGATATGGGCACCACACAACAGCTGCATATTCTAGCTTTGGCCTAACAAAAGTCATGAACAATTTCTTTAGTATATCGCCATCCATGTATTTAAATGCAATTCTGAAGTTAGAAAGCATAGCATAGGCTCCTTGCACAATATTCTTTATGTGGTCCTCAGGTGATAGTTTTCTATCTAGAACCACTCCTAGATCTCTTTCTTTATCAGAATTCTTTAAAGATTTCTCACATAATATATAGGTTGTGTGGGGACACTGTTCTCCTATTCCACATTCCAAAGCATGACATTTATTAACATTAAATTCCATTTGCCAAGTGGTGCTCCATATACTTATTTTGTCCTGGTCTTTTTGAAGGGCATGACAGTCATCTAAATTTCTTATCCTTCCTATTATCTTAGCATCATCAGCAAACATGTTCATATAATTCTGTATACCAACTGGTAGATCATTTATGTACACAATAAACATCACTGGTGCAAGAACTGAACCCTGTGGTACTCCACTTGTGACATTTCTCCATTCTGATACATTGCCTCTGATTACTGCCCTCATTTTTCTATCAGTCAGAAAATTTTTCATCCATGATAGAAGCTTACCTGTCACCCCTCCAATATTTTCCAGTTTCCAGAACAACCTCTTATGTGGAACTCTGTCGAAAGCCTTTTTTAGGTCCAGATAGATGCAGTCAACCCAACCATCTCTTTCCTGTAATATCTCTGTGGCTCGATCATAGAAACTGAGTAAATTCGATACACAGGATCTTCCAGATCGAAAACCATACTGTCTGTCTGATATTATATCATTTCTCTCGGTGTTCTACCCATTTAGTTTTGATTAGTTTTTCCAATACTTTCACTATTACACTTGTCAATGATACAGGTCTATAATTGAGGGGGTCTTCCCTGCTGCCACTTTTGTAGATTGGAACTATGTTAGCCTGTTTCCACCCGTCTGCTACGATTCCTGTACACAGGGATGCCTGAAAGATCAGGTGAAGTGAAATGCTGAGCTCAGATGCACATTCTCTCAGAACCCATGGTGAAACGCCATCTGGGCCAGCTGCTTTGTTCTTACCGAGCTCCTTGAGCATTTTTTCCACTTCGTCTCTAGACACCTCTATGTGTTCTATGTTGTTCTCTGGAATTCTTATTGTATCTGGTTCCCTAAAGATTTCATTTTGTACAAACACACTTTGGAACTTTTCGTTTAGTGTTTCACACATTTCCTTTTCATCTTCCGTGAATCTATTTCCCATTTTCAACCTCTGAATATTATCCTTTACCTGCAATTTGTTGTTTATGAATTTATAGAATAGACCTGGTTCTGTTTTACATTTGTCCGCAATCCCTTTTTCAAAATTTCTTTCTGCCTCTCTCCTCACTGCCGTGTAGTTGTTTCTCGCATCTTTGTATCGCTGGTATGTTTGGGGGTTCGGCCTCTTCCTGTATCGATTCCATTTTTGTGTCTTTCGGTCTCTAGCCCTCTCGCAATTTCTATTGAACCAATCCTGTTTCCTAGTTCTGCATCTCTGTTTTGGTATAAATTTTTTTGTGCCTTTATCATATATTTCACAAAACTTGCCATACATCTCATTCACTTCCTTGCCTAGCATCAAGTCTGTCCAATTATACTCACTAAAAAAATTTCTAAGGTCACCATAATGTCCTCTCCTGAAGTCTGGTTTTTCAACTGCTTCAACCTCCTTATTTTCTTCCAGCTTATAACGCATTGCATACTTTATTCCCAAAAAGACATGGTCACTTTTACCCAAGGGAGGAAGGTACTGAATGTCAAATATCTCTTCCTCCTTCCTGGTAAATATCAAATCTAGCATGGAGGGAACGTCCCCTTCCCTCATCCTCGTAGCTTGTTTAACATGTTGATACAAGAATGTTTCCAGGATGAGGTCTACAAATTTACAGGTCCAAAAATCTTCTGTTTTAGCTTCATATGCTTCCCAGTCTATGGATTTCAAGTTGAAGTCACCGACTATCAACAGTCGTGATCTATCGTTATCCGCTCTCGCTATAATCTCTCTCATTATTGTTATAAGACCTTCACGTTTACTATCTAGCTCCTCCTTTGACCATGTGCTGCTTGGCAGTGGACTATATGCATTTATCATCATTAGTTTATCATCCTCATAGCAGATCTCTAGTGCTATTATGTCAACTTCTTGTGGATTGGCAGTCATTATTTCCTTCACCTTTAGGTGTTCTTTTACCAGCACAGCAACGCCACCGCCTTTCCTAATTTTTCTGTCCCGTCTCCAAATTGAGTAGCCCCTTGGGAATATGACCTCATTTAAAATTACATCTTCAAGTTTTGTCTCCGTGAGTGCAACAATGTCTGGTGTCTGCAGCTGTATTACATCACTTAAATCCAGTATCTTCGATCTCACTCCATCTATGTTGGTGAATGCAATCTTCAGGAACTTGTTCCCCCTCTCCTTATTCTTCACTCCCCCCTCTCTCTATTGATTTTGTTGGTTTGCCTTTATGTACCACTTTACTGGTTTGCCTACCCCTATCACTTTGTAGAAAAAAGAATTTATTTCTTCTTCATTCCTGCTCTCATTTAAATGTTTTGCCTCGGCGAGGTTCAGTTTCAGCTTCTCTCTATCTTCTTTTGAAAGATCTCGTCTTAACGACCACCCTTTCCCGTGTGTGTGTGTGTGCGCGTGCGTGCGTGTGCGAGCGTGCGTGCGCGTGCGTGGGGGGGGGGGGGGGGAATGTATTAACCCAAATATTATTCAAACTTTTCAACAAACTTTATAAGGAGACCAGTTATCGTGTTCTTTGCAGCTAGTCGGGTTCGGGTTCCTGGTGAACTGGCAAAACTCCCAGTTGGTCCTGTCATATGTTTGGACTTGGCTGGTCCTTATTTGGGACTCTCGGTCAGCATATCTTTTTCCCTGCCTCCGGTGGCCTTTACCCGGCTGCACCACCGCCATCTGTTGGTGTTGAGGTTGCCTTTGGTTGCTCGTAGTTGTGACAGCTTGACTTTGCCTGCATAAAACTGTGTTTTCTCTGGGCAAAATGTGGCTTTGATGGCTCTTCTGGCACTTTTGAACCCAGCAGGAAAGGCCATTATATTACATTCAACACTTTGAAGTAAATTGTTTTGTGAAACGGTCATCTGTTATATGAATCAAATTGGCTCAAAGAAACATAATTTAATAAAGTAATCATGTTACTTTGATGTTCTAATGAAGTTTTAAAGCTAATTTTATACAGACAATAAATCTATGAAATCTATTGCTTGAAATGTTAATATGAAAATAAGAGTTCAGGTCGTTAAGCTCAATTTTTAGTGAACATAATTATTTCCCCAATAAACCAAAGTAACAATAAGTTAGTTTAGTGTCATGATTTGATACTAGTCGTCTTAAACTTTGACACTGTACTTTATTTTATTTTTTTTTTTACTTTTTTTATTTATATTATTTAAGTTGCATTTGTTTGTGGACACAGGTGAGTACGGAAGAAAGTGGTCTCGGGTCTAACACAGTTGAACAGTTGATGAAATCCACTCCAGTCTGTGGTCCCCAGACAGGCCAGCCTTCTGCTCAAGTATCCGAAGAGATAGCCGACTTGAGAAACTTCATCGCCAATTTACTGGATATAAAATCTCCAACTGCAACTTCAGGTTAGTTTATCAGAATTATACATCAGTGTTGAGTTACATATCCAAGCACCTTTTTAATGCATCTTAAGAGAATTATTTCCTTGGTGGACAGGAGCTCGTATACAAGCAAGGTACAAGTTTTAGTCCGCTTGTAACAGTGCTAAAGTGTCATGAATGTTTGTGGGGTTCCCACAGTAACTTGCCTATACACTGGTTCTGGTACCACAGAAAACTCCACAAAACTGCACTACACTACACACCAATCACAATTGCGTAATGCACCAAATGAACAAATCCACAAGGGACGTGACGAGGATTCGAACCTGCGTCGGAGAGCATCCCAGACGCTGCCTTAATGGACTGAGTTACGACATGGTCAAAAAGAGTTGAAACCGAAGTTCTACTGAACTTACTGGATCCTGCAGCCTCTCCAAGGCACAAACCAGGGTTTTACACAACTCCCCCATGCACTCGAGCTATGTCAATAGGCCGTTCTCCCTCTAATCCAGTAATTTGATCCAATAAGTTCAGTAGAACTTCGGTTTCAACTCTTTTTGACCATGTCGTAACTCGGTCGATTAAGGCAGCGTCTGGGATGCTCTCGGACGCAGGTTCGAATCCTCGTCACGGCCCTTGTGGATTTGTCCACAAAACTGGTTGTGCTCATAAATGTGAGGGGAGAACAGGGCTCATGATCAACCCAAAGCCTAGTAAAACATCCTCGAAAGTGAAGGTGAAGCAAAACAATGTTTTTGTTTAAAGTCACACACAGGACTTGATAATGGTCCAGGAAGGACCAAAACATTGTCGTTTCTTTATCTTTTGGTGTGTGGTTAGGTCATAAATGTGTTGCTTGCTGGCAGAGCAAATTTGTAAATACAGTATGTCAACTGTGCCAAAAAAAACAGATGATAATTAACTATTATCTAAATTAAAAAAAAAATGAAGGGGAAAAGAGGGGGCTTAACACTTTCAGGCTTTGAGCGAGCGAGCACCGCACCACCCCAAGGTGCGCCTGGCCTTCCATGGGAGCGAGCGGTAATACTGAAAAGTGTATTCTCTTTTCAACTTTGTCATCTCAATTCTCGTCCTAGGTCTTTCATTTTGGTATTAATGTGTTCACAGTAGAATT